GAATAAATGACATTTTATCTGGGCATTAAAGGAAGAACAGGAATTCGTCAGGTGGGGAGGATAGGAAAGTTATTCCAGAGGAAAGAGAAACACAAAGAGTTAAAGAGGAATGGATCCCTAGTGGGTGGTAAATTCTTGGTAGCTGGTAATGTAAATGTGAATGACTGGCATTTCAACCTGTTCGGTTTAGGAAGACTGATTTCAAGCTTTTAAAAATCTATTTTTAAAGGTAATTTTTAGAGCTAAATTGTAATTATTGTTTGGCTCTGTGGCTTTAATTTATTAGGCATTTATCATGTGCTGTTAACGGTATTCGGTGCTTTAAGTATTTACTCCTCATGACAATTCTATGACAAAGCTACCAAGGAGTAAACTGAACCCGAGAGTTTAATATTTGGTCAAGTTCATGAAGCTAGTAAGAGGCCAAGCAAGATTTTTGCTCTTCAAACATACTTAACACGCACTAAATTCATTTTTAAAAACTGAAATTATAGTCTCCAGTATAAAGAATAAAACAGATCTTTAAGAATGATTTATTAAAAGAAATTTAAAGTATTACATAGGAGAATTTGAAAGCAGCTAATCTAGCTCCAGGCCTTGAGGTATAACTCGAGGAAGTCTCCTAGAGAGGTTAGGTGTCATGCCCATGATAGCAGCTGATAGTTGACTGCCCTCTGCTTCTTCAGACATTGCTCTGGCCCCTTAACAGTGGATGTCAGTTATGCACCTGGAGATGTAAAAGTGAATAGTAAACAGTACTGGAGGAAGAGCTCAATAACTTGTCCAGGTTCGCTGAGCTCATAAGGAGTGTAGCGCTCTTGAGTCCATGTTCTTTATTTTGTTCTTTAGAGAAGCAGAGGTGGGAGTTAGATGGGTAGTCTCACTGTAATCCTGCCATGATTTTCTCAGAGACCTAGTAAAGAAATTCCTTAAACATTTTTGGCGTCTCAGTGTTCCCTTCTGTTGTCATATTTGCCAAACACGTCAACATTTATAAAGTATATTGGTAAGTTTGGCTTTGGTGACTCTGCAGAACAGCCCTGAGAGGAATAGGCAGGGTGGGTTTTTCTTTTTCCTTTAACTTTAGTAAGTTACTAACTTGAAGTTGACACAATATAAGGTATTACCTTTAACTTCTCACTTAAAAGAATATTAAGCTATTATTTTTTAATTTATAAAATGAGGAAAATACAATAAAGGCGAAAACCAAACTATTTTCCCTGCGAATAACTATATATCAGGAATTATTTGATTTTCATAGCTCATATTCCATTTTTCCCTCTGATATTACCCCACTTATGAGTAACAATTCTTTTCTATGTTCCTCCTTGAATTCTACAAAAAGCCTAAATTATATGTTCTTCAATGAAAGTGAATAGAAATCTATCTTTGCTGGTTTACCAGGTAACATCAAAATAACTGATTAAGAATTAATAGTCTTGGCTATCTACTATTTAGTATTCATTTTTATTTTTGCATTTTGATTTTACTCTTTAATTTTCTTCACTTTTCTGTATCTTTGTATTCTTGATGCCTACCCAATAATATCTGTTTTAAAATTTTTTTTAAAATTTTTATTCTAATTTGTTATACATGACAGCAGAGTGCACTACAATTCATATTACACATATAGAGAATGATTTTTCATATCTCTGGTCGTGCACAAAGTACATTCACACCATTTGTGTCTTCATACATGTACTTAGGGTTATGATGTCCATCTCATTCCACCGTCTTTCCTACCCCCATGCCCCCTCTCTTCCCTCCCACTCCTTGCCTCTATGTAGAGTGGCAGACAGGTTTTGCTGGGCTTATTTACAGATGAGGAACTGGGTTCCAAAAGGCTAAGGAGCTGTTGAGCTTTATGAAGCTCTTTGCAGATATGGGATGAAAATCCATTAACATGTTAGTAATCACTGTCCCCCAGATACCTATAACATAGAGGCAAAATCGTGACTGCAAATGAAAGGTATAATGTGACATGTTCCCTGGGAAGTACAGGGCAGGATAATTGGAGGTTTAGCAGAGAAGTAAATCATGTTCCATTGGCTTTCTGTTAGAGAGGCTAGGAACTAGCTTATAAATATGGGAAAGATATGGGCGGTGGTAATAGTGAGGAGGTGTTCCTGGAGAAGCATGACTAGAGACCTGGTGTTTGAGCTTCCGTTTCATTCTGGGCTTCTGACAGCTTGTCATTCATCATTATATTTGAAGGCTCAGCTTGTCCAGGCCAGTCTGAACAAGAGAGAGGAAGCTTGGTTTTTCTCTTCCAGATCTGAAGGTGTCCCTGATCTTCCTGGGATCCTAGGATACCCCTGAAGCCATGACTCCTTCGCTTTGGATTTTGCTTCCCTGCTTATCTGACTGCCTCATATCTGGAGACTGCCTGCTCCCCAGTCTGACACCTGTGACCTTGCTATTCCAAGAATACACACATGGATGCCATTTCCTATCATCTCTACTGAACCCCACCCATTGTGCGCCCTCTTGACCCTATGCCGTTAACTGCTCTGGTAGCTCTGAGATGCAGCCCACCTTCCAGTCCTGTTCTCTCAAAATGTCTCAAGACTTACCCAAAGTTAAAATTGTTGAAATCAATTTGGTTGCACCTGATTGACAGGGAAGGACATCAACACTCACAGGATAAAATCTCCATCAGGAGAGAAAGAGATGGATTTGGGGGCTGATTGTGGTAAGTAATGATGCTCTGAGTCTATGTGACAGATATTTTTCATTTGCCCTTTGACCACCCTGACTTCAGCCCCAGGAGGTTTATCTGTCTGAAAAAAATATAAGACCTCAGCAGGCTTTCTTGCTTCTCACTTCTCCTTGATTTTGGCAAATGAAAAGCTCCAGCAGGAAATAAGAGGAAGGACATGGGAAGGAGGTCTGGACATTTATTTCTCTTGCTCATTTCCTGCAGTGTTACCTAGGACTGAATATGTTGCTAGACTGAAGGGCATAGTTCCTTTTAAGATAGTTTTATCTGTTCGACTGTCTCTGTAAGTTTTCCGTAGCTGTCCTTTCTCTCATGGTTGTAGGCGTAAAGGTAGTAACATTCCACTTAGTAGGCTCAAGTTACTTCACTATCCCTTATGGGTCCTTTTTTATGCATTCCTTATAAAATATTCTTTATTAAGATCTCAAATTATTCTAATCTGAAAGCACCATCTCTTTCCTATTGTGATCCTTTTTGATACACATCTTTGACAGTGGACTCTAGAATCTGTCCTAACCCAGCCATCTTTGTGCCAGGCTTATGGCCTGGAAAAGTGTTTGAAGGACTGGTTTGAGGGAATTGTAACATCAGAAGCCCAAGTTTTGCCATGGGACAACCTTGTCCAAGTATGATGCAGAGAGAGGAATTATCCTCCCTTGCCTTTGAGGAACAGGGTTTTCTAGGTAAGAATTTCCACCAGCCACACTGGCAGCAATGGGAAGCAAATTTTGGCCCCAGCCATGTGGCTTCAGATGTACCTGACCATGATGGTATATACCATCCTCTACTTATAATCTGTTGTTGCATGTCAAATGTTCCTAAAGCAGGGTGGCTTAAACAATAGCAATTTTATTACCTTTCATTGTTCTGAGGATTGTTCTGAGCTCAGCAAGAAGGTTCTTGTCTGTGATGTATCATGCAATTGCAATCAGATGGTAGTGGAGCTAGGGTCTTCTGAAACAGGAATAAGTTAGATTATTTCTACTTCAAGTGGCTTCTTCATTCTTATTCCAGAAAGTTGGTGCTGGCTATTAAATAGAAGCAGACCTGAAGCTATTAACCAGTGGCTTGATTTTCTTCCATAGGGAATAATTCTGTATCTTGGGCTTCATAGAGTAGTTGGAATTCTAATATGAAGTCTAGATTCCCCCCAAATTCATTTTCTAAGGGGACCCGATGGAAGTTGCATCATTTATTCTAACTGTGCAAGTCATACAGTAACACTTTGGCCACATTCATTTGTCTAAAGTTAGTCTAGATGTGCCTAAATTTAAGGAGAGGGAGTGAATATCTAGAACCAAGGATTGTTGGGAGACCATGTTTGGAGACTAACAACCATCCTGAGCTTAGGGTGATTATTTTGGCAACAGTAGAGGCAGCAACAAGGATTGGAGGCATCTCTTTGGAATATAGAGGTTTCTAGTGTAGATAAGACAATAGTCTTGAGAACAAACAAGTGATTCTTCCTTTCATCCACATTTCTGCAGGTTGAAGTCCTTTTGGAAAATCAGAAAAGGGACTGACCTGGGAGACATGTAAATCTGGGGTCTTAAGTGTTACACTTTGGAACACATGGCAGGCAATTAAGGAGGCAAAAGTATCCCAGTTTCATATAAATGAATAAAACAAGGTTCACAATGTTTCAGTCAGTAGTAGATTCAAACCTAGGCCTGACTTCTACCAAAACTTTTTATCTCTAAGCCAGGGGCACATTACTCAACATGTCTACAGTTTAGAGAAGACTAATAAATGTGTCAAACTAAACACAACTGGCAAGAAGCATTTTATATTGCAACTAAGCAGCACCTACCTAAAAAACTACCTTTGAACATGCATGGGGTTAAAACAAAACCCAGACTGAAGGCGGAATTGTAGATGGTGTGAATGGTGCCTGTGGATGGTACAGATGGGGTTCTGCCTTTTCTTCTTATCAGTGGGGCTAGAATTTGCAAAGACTGGGGTTTTCACCACTTTCTTTTATTTAATTTTTAAAATTTTATTTATTCTAATTAGTTATATATGACAGCAGAATGAAATTCAATTCATGTTACACAAATGAGCATAATTTTTCATGTTTCTGGTTGAACACAAAGTAGAGTCATACCATTCGTGTTTTCATACACGTACTTAGGATAATGATGTCTGTCTCATTCTTCCATCTTTCCTACCCCCATACCCCACCTTCCCCTCCCTCCCCTTTGCCCTATCTAAAATTCGTCTATTCCTCCCATGCTCCCCACCATTCCATTATCAATCAGCATCCTTATATCAGATGGTTGGATCTAGGTTGGATCCACAGTTTAGCTATTGTGAATTGTGCTGCAATAAACATTGATGTGGCTGTTTCACCACTTTCTTATGGAATGGAACCCAAAGAGATAAGCACTGTGCTCCAACCCCTTCCCACACCCTCCCCAAAGGCTGCCAATTGACAACCTCTGTACTGGATTCTACTATCACCTCTGCCAGTATATTGCTTCATTTAATCTTCACATTGCCCTATAAAGCAAATATTATTATATCCATTTCACTGATAAGGAACTGATTACAGAGAGAGTATGCAGTTTATGCAAGCACCTGCTTTGCCTACCTGAAAAAGGTGATTGTTAGACATAACAAAAAAATGAATATTAAAACGCGTGTCAAATATACATGGCATTTGTAAAGAGCTAAATGCAAAGCACGCTATTGTGTAATTTTAATTTGTTTAACAAAAATATATCAAAAGGTTTCTATAGGTTATGCACTCTCTCCATGCGGTAATAGGCAATGAATGAACCAGATGACAAATCCTTTCCTGTACAGAGCTGACATTCTATTGAAATATCCAGACAATAAACTAAATAAATATGTAAATTATATAATATTTAGAAAGTGATAAATGATGAAGAGAGACAGGAAAAGGGAGATTGGGAGCTATGAAGGGCAGGCGCATTTATTAATAAAGTGGTCAGGGAGGGCTTCTGCACAGGAGAGGTCTCCATCCTTCCATGAAAAGTGCAGCCCACCAGACAAATCTGGCAGAGGTCTGTCTTTCCAAGGCCACCAACTAGGAACATATTCTCCCATTTGTAAAGGATTTTCAAATGATAAAGAAGATATGACAGAGACCATATGTAACCTGCAAAATTTAAAATATTTACTATCTGACCTTTTTTTTCAGGGAAAGTTTGCAGACTTGGCCCACCATGTATGCCATTGCTTTGACAACCAGCTCTACACAGGTGTAATCTGACAGCATCTGGCCTCAGATGTACTAAACACCCCTTGCTTTCTTCCCCCTGCCTGCCTCCATGGAAGTCCACTTGACACTCACTCATGTGCAGCATAGAGATGTGAATTCCTTAACAGCCTAGAGGGCAACCCGTGACAGTGAAGAATGGGCGTGATGGATGAAAGCCTCCCTGCCTCCCTCTATGCCCTTGCAGATAATTCTGGGTTGCTGTCTATATGCCTCTTCAAAAGGTCCTGGTAGGTTTAAACTCTGTTTCTTTCCCTGTAGTTCTTTGCTGTTGCTGAGAGCTCTTGTTGCAGGCTCTGCTTTGGAGAGGGAGCCCAGGCTGAGACAGGAGTGACTCCAGAAAGCTGACTCTCAGGCTGGATTCCAGAACTGGTTCACTTGCCAATCATCCTTAGCTGGTAGTAGGTATGATAGTGGTAATCCTGGCATTCTGGGGCCTCACAATTGCTGAAACTTTCACTAGTAGTAGATTAGTGGTAGATTAGGAGGAGGTACATGCAGAAGGTAAAGCATTGGATTATTAGCTTAGCTGAGACTCTGAACGGCATGGGGGTAATAGGACTGTTTTTTCTTATTATAAGGATTGTCGAGTTGGATTTGCCTTTTTAAAGAAACTCTGAAAAAAGCAAATGATAGACTTTGGTCAGCTAACAATCAAGTCGAAATATGTTATGAAAGTCAAAGGGACTCCATGGCAGCTTTAGGGAGAACCTCAACTCCTGTAGCCTCAGATCAGACTGTAATGAAAATCAGACCCAGGATTCAAGAGTGGCAGAGCTACAGAAAAGACAGAATGTAAAGCTAGCTTCCCTATGTTCACACATAGTGAACATAGTGAACTCCTCACAGATAGGAGTTCTGATAGGAAGGGAGTAAGAAGCAACACCTTGGAGGGAACATATGGGGTATTGGACTAAGAATCTTGCATTTCCAGCTTCCTATCAACACTGAAGGTAGCAGAAGCAGCCTCTTTACCCTTTTTAGAAGAAAGCAATCTCCCTTTGATTGGAGCCTGGCAAATTTTTTTCCATAGACAAGTCCCGTGCATGATGATACCTGTACTTCTTAAGATCTGCTCTTCCTGGTGGTCATTGTCCTTAGCCCTCAAACTAGGGACAAGCTGCACCCAAACCCAAATGGAAAAATAATGCTTTCTTCATGAGGAAATAATGTGCTTACAAAAGAACTGCAGGAGCTGGTTAACTAGAGCCAGCGTGACCTCTATGGAAAGGGTCTTGGGGAATATTGCATCAGGAGGAAGTAGAATATAAGGGTAGCTGGAGAATTTGTTGATGTGGGAGCACTATCTCATGACTTGGTGATTAATATCCTACCAGGGACAACTGGAGCTGACTTCATTACCCTGCTGGAGTGGCTTCTAAATGAAGACAGCACATAATAAATGACGTGGGGAAGCTCAAACTTCCTTGGCAAAGAACTAAGAAAAGTGCCAGAAGTTCTAAGAAGGTGGGTGTGTTAGAAGGGAGTTATTAGGTGGGACTACCAGCAGACTATGTTCTCCCTCAGGGCCCAGAGATACCTGTATCACCTTAGGCATTGCAAGTGGATCATTGGCCCTGTCAAAAGGCTGAGTGATGAGGGTCCTCTATGGCCTGAGGTTACAGGGAGATGCTGCCACAGATAGGGATCCCTGTAATCAGTTGGTCTGATGGGACTCCTTGAAGTTAGAGGCACTTAAGCCTTAGAGGCAAAGATGGATAAACAATGCCTATGATATTGTTTCACTTCCATAATGAGAAAAGAGAAAAATCAAGAGCTGGTGAGCAAGATCAACTACAATTGTCAGAAGGAAAATTATCTCTCAACCCATTTTCCAGATTTAAGCCAGAACTTATTTAATAAGGAGGAATCCTACCATGCCATTTTAATTACATTTGATAAATATTCTACCTATGCATCCCCAAAAGGACCAAGTGACCATTTATGAGTTGAAAATATCCAGACCTTTTGTGGTGCTGGGGATTAAACCTAAGGCCTCACAAGTGCTAGGCAAGTGCTCTACCACTGAGTTACACTCCCAGCCTGCAAACCTTTGGAGAACATTTTAATAGGTGGGGGTTGGGGCTGACTCTGCTACCAGAGGTGGGATTTGCCTACAAGAACAACTTGTAGAGGGTCTGAGTATAGAGGCCTGAAAGAGGTGAAACAGGCTGATATGTAGGGGAGAGCATTCTAGGCTGAGGACCTGTACATTGCAGAGGGCTGAGGTGAGAATGTCTGGTGTGTTTTAGCCGCAATCAGGAGGCAGACATGGCTGGAGCAGAGTAGGCCTGTTCCTGAGAAGTAGGAGGTGAAGTCAGAGTAGTGAGGGAGGGGGAGATAAAAGGAGTCTTGGGGGGTTATGGTAAGAAATTTGTTTTGTCTTGTGTGCAAAATGAAAAGCCAGAGCTGAAAAGTAACTGGACTGACCAATCTTTATAAAAGATCACTCTTATATTAAAAATAGGCTCATGGAAGATGATGGCTTTGGCCTTTATGATAGCAGTAAACTGAACCAACTGAATTTTGCTAATGGATGAGATATGAATTGTTAGAGGAAGAGAGTCTGAACATGTTTTGTGGCCTAAGCAACTGGAAAGATTGAGTTGCTATTAATTGGGCTAGGAAATACTAGGAGAGGAACAGGTTTAGAGAATCAATAAGCGTAAAGTCACTATTTTATCATATATTCATTCTTTCAATTAATCAAATATTAAATAAGTAACTATTAGGCATTGTGTTTGGCTCTGGGGATTATATGGTGATTAAGAACTTGGTCCTCCTAGGCATACATAGTTTAGTAAATACGTGGTTTACAGTTAAGTATGATAAATGCTATTGTGATTAGAAGAAGGAACCCTGAGATCAAAATGAAGAAGAGCAAGAGGAGAAGAAAATAAAAAGGTCTATGATTTAAGATGCTATAGTGCACCTGCCTGTCTATTAGCTCCTTTGTTTCATTTAGTGTCAGTGAGTCTTCTCTAGACTTCGGTGAGGTAAGTATTATAAGAATAGTGACTCTGTCTTAATGTTGTAGGAAGCGTGGCTTGGTTTTGTAATATGAAGAAAATATCTAGGCTTATGCCAAAAACCTAGTACATATCCCTGTGACGCAGGTAAGATAAAGACTTGAAAGTCCTTTTTTTTCCCCTCTTCTTAAATTCAAACCTTAGAATGTCACTACGCTCTGATCAGCTACTTGGCAGGAAATCAAAGGAATGAGTGCAAGGTGGCTTTGCCTCTTTCTGTATGGAGGAAGGATCCTCTTGCCCCAGTAAATGAGGGGAAGGTGGAATCATCAGTCTACTTGAGCTTGGAACCCAGAGTCCCCACCATGAACAAGAAGACTCAGTCACTGTGTGCAATTCAGATTAGCATTTAGTCTTTCTTGGGAAAAGGAGGAAGGGAAGTGGGCACAACAGCAGAAAATTTCCTCTTCTCCCGAAGGTAGGATTAGCTCCCTTTTATAGATGAGAGATTCCACAATTCATCCCGCTCAGCTCAGCAGCGGATCCTAATCCAGGTCTGACTTTTCCTGCTCTGCGGAATTAATGCCAGTGTCCTTTGAAAAGAGAACCTGTGATCAAATGGAGAGAAAAAGTATGCGGCAGCTTAGAGGCTGTTTTTAGAGGGCACAGGCATTCCCAGAGGAGCAGATAGTGCCAGGACAAATGAAATTTATGGGTCATGTGGCTCAGATGTGGGCTTGCCAGATTTCAACTCTTTCTGAGAAGCATTTCAGACAAGAAAACAAACTTAGATGGGTGAAGGGTTACCCAGACTTCTGACCCTTCTAAAATGTCTTCATGTGATTCTTCCTCAGTTTCAATCCACCATCTTTTTAAAACACTAGTTTTATAAAACTACTAAAGCAATTTTATTTTGTTATAAAAGTGAGGTCATCTATAACATCATAAAACATAAAATTTTGTTCAGAAGAATATAAAAATTACTCATGGTACCATGATTTAAAGATGTCACAGTGATTTTATTGGTATATTGCCTTTCAGATTAAAAAAAATATGTCTATGTTTGCAAATGTGACATGTTGTTCCATTTCTCCTTTGTCTAGTACATTCCAAGTTTCAGATAATAGAGGATGGTCTTGGGCAATGCTAATCCAGAAAGAGACCCACAATGCGAACACTTTTTTCATTTTGTCTTCTTCACCTGCAGAGTCTCTGTTGAGTGTCTAGCACGTCTAGAATGAGACTTTGAGCCTGTTGAAAAGTTGGAGAACAATTGAATAGAGAATCGATGCCAACTCTGGAATCTCCAAGACTATGGAGTCTGTTTAGTTTGAAATATGGGATTTGGAACTCACAGTAAAGTTTTGCCCATTCTTCTGGTCTTTGTGTATGTTCTCAATGCACTAAAGCAGGACTCAGCAAGCCTTTCCTGTAAAGGGTCATATAGTCAATATATCAGGCTTTGAACGAACCATTACAACCACTCCACCTGTCAATGTTGCACAAGGCAAACACAGGGAATGCACAAATGAACAGGCATGGCTACATTCCAGTAAAGCAAATTTTATTTTTATAAAAGAGATGGAAAGCAGGAATAGGCTGAAGAGCCATAGTTTGCTAATGGAATTTACCTGATAATGGAAGCATATTTGGGAAGAAATTGGAGTATATTCCCCCCCCCTTGCTGAAAGCAGAATACTCCCCCTCGAAACATGCACACATACATGCACACTCACACACACATGCACAATTACACATCTGAAGTGACACCATAGATTTAGTTTTTAAAACAATGGTAAAATATGCATGCCAAAATTTATCATTTTAACCATTTTAAGTGTACAGTTCAATAGTGTTGAGTATGCTCATGTTGTGCAATTATCACCACCATCCATCTCTAGAACTTGATTCATCTTAAAAACCTGAAGTTCTAGGTTCACAAAACAATAACTACCCCAGCGCCTAGCAACCACCTCCTCTCTGTCTGTGAACTTGACTACCATAGATACCTCATATAAATGAAAGCATATAAGTGGAATCATACAATATTTGCCCTTTCTTTTACCTTTATTTTTATTTATATATTTTTATGTGGTGCTGAGGATTGAACTCAGTGCCTCACAAGTGTAAGAGGCAAGCACTCTACCACTGAGCTCCAACCTCCAACCCAATATTTGCCCCTTTTGATAGCCTTATTTCAATTAGCATAATGTCTTAAAGGTTCATTTATTTATAGCATGTGTCATACCATAGATTCAATTTTATAATTTCTTAGAACATAGCAATATTTCATCTGTATCTATGTCTTTAAAAAACTTCTGGCAAATACAATTTTTAAAGCCTGCATAATATTCCATTGACTTTGACTGACTGAAGAGGGATTCATTAGAAACCAAAACAACCTCTATATTGGGAGGAGAGCCTGTGGCTTTCTAATGACAAAAGATTTGACTAGGGACCAATACACTAGCAAAAACTACCCAGTTATGAATGAGCTGGGCCCTGGCTGCCCAAGAAATATGCTCTCTGTAAGGGTGGGCTCAAAAGAGGCAATAAAATCCACTTGGGAAAGACTAATTGCAGAGCAAGCAAAATAAGAGAAGGTTACATTTTGACCTACAGGGCCAGGAGAGCGCTCAGTGAACTTCACAGTAAGTAATCTGGCTTTGTCTTGTGCATTCTCTCTCTCTCTCTCTCTCTCTCTCTCTCTAACACCGATGATGAACTTGACAGGCAGAACGAACACATCCATCACATAGATGATTCATATTTATAAACATTCTCCTTTGCTGGACATTTAGGTTATTCCCAATGTTTTGCTATTAGAAGCAATGCTCCAATAAGCATCTTTGTACATAGTATTTCTCTACATAGCTCAGCTTAAATTTATTTTATCTTCACCAGTAAATTTATCATGGCTATGGAATTTTTTATCCTTTGGCGCCTAAGAAGCTTGAGGATCTAAGATGACTTAGCTGCTAAAAACGCTAATTAACTGGCTTTAAGGAGAACTGGTAAGGGCTGACAAGAAACAAAATCTCTGGTCCTTCTTTTCAGAGTAATCCCTTCTTAGGGATCAAGCTTGGAGACGGATGGCAGAAAATCAGGCAAGACAATAGGGCAAAAATAACCAGAATGAAGGGCCCTGGGCATAAACCCAGGCTGGTGAACTGACTCAGTTCATTGTGGACAGCATTGAGGGTGAGAGAGAGAGAGAGTAGAATAAAGCCTATTGATGAGTGGTTACACAAACTGTAGGGCTTTCTCCTCATTTAATGGATCCATAGTCTCTTGGACCTGCAAGAACCTAGAAAAACACAGTACCTACACAGTAGTATCCCATCCTGAGAGCCTGGATGTAGTAGATGTCTTTACCCATATTCAGATCTCCCTTACTTCCTGATAATATGGAAAGCTATGATTCCTAAACCGTAGGCAGGGCTATATGAATAGTTCTGGCTAACAGAACACAAACAGGAATGTCATTGAGCTACTTATGGGATGAATGGCTAACAGCCTAAACCTGACCCTTCCACTCTTCCCCTTGTCTCTGTATCCCTGAGGATTACATGTTAATGACATTATAAGCTGAAACCTCCTCCAGCCTGGGTTGTTGAGTGACTACACAGAGCACTGCTTTCCACTAAACTGTGGGATGTGTATTTTGTGATGAGAACTAAATATTTCTTATTTTAAGTTGCTGAAGATCATTTTTTTCCCCCACACTGTTGACTTTCCTGTCCCAACTGAACTGATACACTTGACCCTATGCAAGGTCAAGTGGCAGAGCAGAGATTTAACTCCAAAACTCTCTAACTCCAGAGTCTGCATTGTTATTTCTTTTTAAAAAATATGTTTCCCTTAATTGTTGATAGACCGTTATTTTATTTATTTATACGTGGTGCTGAGAATCAAACCCAGTGCCTCACACATGCAAGGCAAGTGCACTACCACTGAGCCACAGTCCCAGCCCTGCATTATTATTTCTAAATCATTCAGGTGTCTGGTGATAGGGGTCTTGGGAGCTGATTGGTTTTGAGGTGAGGAGACCAGCAGGGTTTTGTAAGGTGTCTGGAAAAAATGTCTTTCTCTGGATCAGAGCTGCCAGGTTGGGCACGTGCTTTCATTCCTCATTGTTAGGTGGCTGAGAAAGGCAAAAAAGAATAATGAGATGCAGCTGAAAGTTGGTAATATCCCTGTTACCACTGAAAATCAAGTCATTTCCTCTCCAGGATGATAATGAAAATTTATTTAATTTGTTCTCGCAGGTCCATCTTGCTTCTACTGGTGGTAAGCAGGCAGGCCAGGCATCAAGAAGTCATAATCATCATGACGGGAAGTTATTAACCGAGGCAGAGTCAGATGATAGCTGAGAATTAACATTCTGTTGGATGGAGTTACTTTGTGTATCAAATCATGACCGCCAAGTCTAGGCCTTGAATGGGCCTTGAGTAATAGGTGCTCTCCAAACTCCTGGGGACTGTCTAAGATCCATTGTGGTCCATCAGGCCAACTCTTAATTGAGCTGAATTCTTGCAGGAACATTGTGAAGACTGAAGAGGACAAGAAAAGACTCTGGGTTTGCATTTCTATTTTAGTCTCTTCCTGTATAACTTCCCTCTAGCTGCATGCATCATGAAGCATTCTCTACATTGTATGAGGCTTTGCACACTTGTGCCCTTTCACCACTCCTGGGATTATTAGTCCTCACGCGATGCTCTATAAGCCCTCTTAGTACAAAGTTATGGTAAGAGATTTAATCAACAGAGGAAGTATAGCCTCAGCCTTAAACACAGCCTGGCTCAAAATCTCATAAAATCCCACTCCTTTGGAGGCATTAGAACAGTGGAAAGGTTGTCAGTGGTGTGCTGGTAAATGTTTAACAACGGGCTCTTCAGGACAGGGAGGAGATGAAGATTTGAAGGTTTCCCATTTCTGTGATGGAAATGCTCTATGGATGATTTTGAGTTAAAATGTGACACCACTGAACATGGTCTTGAGAAGAGGTGTGCAGGAGCACACCATGATACAGTATTGCCACTACACATATATAATAGAGATGAACAACTTCATAAGCATAGATGGTAGTCATATGTAGTAAAATAAGTAAGAAGTTGTGATTTTTGAGTGCTTGTCATTGATTTTAATATGATTTACTTAATTCACTTTTAATAAGGCCTACGTTTAACGACCAGTTTGCAATAGTTCTGTTCATTTACCTATTGTTTCTCATGAGTAGGAACATGGCAACTCCAGCACACTACTACTCCTGGGTCCTTCTCAGTGTGTGCCTGTTTCTTGACAAGGTCCAGCTTATGCCATGACTACCTGGGCATCAAATGTAAAGACAGCTCCCCACTGAGGCCTCCCCATGGCTACTCTTTTGGGCTTTCTGTCACATAGCTTCTCCATCTTCTATGACAAGTAGGGTTTTGTAAGCTTTCTGGACAAGTGTCCTTCTCTGGATCAGAGCTACCAGGTTAGGCATGTGCTTTCATTCCTCGGTGAGAATCTAGGTTCCCACATCTCCATATTCTCCATCCTTCATGTGCATGCATGCTCACTTTACTGTGAGCTGCCTCCATGCTCCAGGCTGTCGAATTTTAACCGTGAGCTGGCTAACTCCTCTCGCCAGATCTTTATGCGCTGACATTATTCTTTCATTCAGTCTTGGAACAACCCTTCTAGATGAGTCTTGCTATTTCAGAGGAGGAAACTGTGGCTCAGAGAGGGAAGTGACTTGCCTGCATCCCAGAAGTCACCTCTTCAGGGACATGCTGCCTTTGATATGCAATGCACAGGCAAACACCTCTACTCTTCAGCTGGCTGCTGTTAGTTGTAGACTGGGTTTATTCAATTTAGGGAGGATCTGGAGCTCTTTTCTGCAAGGACTCCATCACAGGATCTCAGCAGAGGAACATTCAAATAGAAGAACAGAGATGGAGTTGAGGTCTGTTGTGAGCCCCTAAGCATCTCTGACCCCATCTCTTTCCTGTAGAAGTTGGAGATAGAGTTGAAGTCAAGTCTCCTCCCTGTAATCCCATCTCATTCCCTTGCTCCTTATCTGTGTCTGCTGGAGCCTGGTTTCTATCTCCTGAAGGTGAAATCCATTAGGAGGCAAGCTTGGCCCAGTGTAGGGGCTGAAAACAGTCATGTGCAGAGCAGCCCAGGCATATTACAACTGAAAAGCAGATGTGTCCCTGGAAAATTCCTTGAAAGGAAGCCAGTTTTAGTTATGTAGCAAATGCTGAGAGACAGGAGGAGAGATGAGAAGAAGGTAAGCATTGTAGGATCATGGAGATCTATCTCCCAGAAGATCTGGAATTAAGTATAAGTCCTTGGGCACCCATTAAACCTCTGAGCTGTTGTCTCCTCTGAAG